TAACCTTCCCTGGGAGCTCGCTGTGACTTTAAGAGCTGTTGTTGCCTCGTGTTGTGAGGTGAGAAATTCCCTCCTGGAGGAGGAAATCGACACTGATACTTGGAACTTGCTGGTATTGCTGCCTTTCCTGGCACAGAGCGCAAAACAGGCTGCGGCGGAGCGAAATCCCACAAGAGCTTTCTGACGCGAGTTCTGCAGAAGGAAAGTACCGCTGGGGAAAGTGACAAAGTCCTGGTAACAAGAAGAATTTTTCTGGATTGTATCATCTATAAAAGCCAATTCTTAGGCTTCTATTTTATTCTTTGCTCTTTGCTTCATTTGTTTTTCTCTCTGCCTTATTGTGTGCTCCATCACAGCAGTCCTGCTGCTGGAAGAAGACCCAAAGAAAGATGCACTAAACTCTTTTACAGCAACAAAGAAAAGCTTGGATACTGTCTCAGCGCCTGCCATAGCTCACAGTGCTGGAGAGGAGGAGAACTAGAGTGAATTTGCTGTAGTTCTCAGTTCCACCCGTGTTTTCTGCTCACCCAGTGGTTGGTGTCCCCTGTTCCTGGATTGTGCTTGATGGGGATCTCTGCTACGGGAGCAGTCTCTGCACTCAAAGGCAGGCTAGCAGGGATAGGCGAGGTGGCCTCTAGATGCTGGAAAGGCCATTTGTATAAGCTCCTGGCAGAAGGTCTCTTCTGGCACAGCTGCTGGCTGTAGGCCCACCAAGCCAAGGGTCAGGATAGCCTCTCTGCAGCATGTCTTCCAAGCCAGAGCAGAAAGAGGCCCACCAGGCTAATGGGGCTGTGCTGCCCATTGTGCCTGTGGACTGCCATGTTGGTCCAGACCGGACACAGCTGGTGGAGCCCTTGGAGTTCCTGGGATCTGATGGTGATGGGGTCGAAGTGGTGGTGCTGGAGTCCCGTGCAAATGCCAAAGGGGTGCGAGAAGAAGATGCCCTCTTGGAAAACGGCAGCCAGAGCAATGAAAGCGATGACACCAGCACAGACCGAGGTCCTGAGCCTGCCTCGCCACTCAAAGAGACTTCCTTTTCCATTGGGCTCCAGGTCCTCTTCCCTTTCCTTCTGGCAGGCTTTGGGACAGTTGCTGCTGGAATGGTGCTGGACATCGTGCAGGTAGGACTGAGACTTCCCTGGTGGGGGCTAGGCTCTGAATCCCTTTTCTTTAGCCCCCAGCTTGATTCCAGGCTGAGCCAGGAGGCACTGAAATGCTGGAGCTAGTTCAGCAGATGGCAGCTAGAGAGGGGAAGGAGACCTTGTGTGCTGCTTGGGGTGGGGGAGACCAGGGAGGTCAGGGAAATTGAAGAGAGCCACCTTTCTTGACTGCTCTGCTGTCCTTGGCCAGCCTTGTGTTACTAAACTGGAGCAGGGATCCCTTACAGCAGAGTGGCCCCATGGTTGGAGCATGAGCTGTGGGGAGCAGGGAGGACCGCCTTCAGTTCCTAGTGTTGCTGTGTTCCCGTGGGTCCTGGGGTGAGCTGCTAAGGCTGCGTGTGTTCTGCAGCATTTGCAGATATCCCCAGACCAGCATAGGTGCGTGGCTCGTGTTGTAGGGACCAGCACTTAACTTGTGCCTCGGAGGAGCGTGGTGCCTGCACTGAAGTCATACCTCACCTTTTTAGTTCAGCGCAGATATGCTTCTGTGAGCTAGGATCACAACATAGGTGTGTTCAAGGCCTAGGATGTATTGGTCACCCCTGACGTAAACGGAGAGTAAGCGAAGGCCTTGCAGTCTGCTTTCTTTCCACTTTGTGAATCAGAGAGGTTTGTAGCTGAGACTGGTTCCTGACCTTGGTGATGTCGGAGTGAGGGAAGAGGAGGCTGCATGCACCCCTGCTGCCCTGTTCCTGCCCGAAGGAGGAGGCAGCAGCTGGCACTTGTGCAGCCAAAGCACCTGCTTGGGAATGGAGATGGCTCTGTGCGTTAGTACTTGAAATAAAACACTCTCCTATTGACAACTATGGTCATCCCAGGCCCTGGTCCCTGGTTCCACAAGCCCCGTTTCCCTGTGTCGCCTTTGGTGTTTGCTGCACTGTTTCAGCACACCAGGCTCATCCCAGCCAGCCTAGTTAATGGTTCCCTGTTGCGGTGGGTGCAGAACGCTTGCCTGATGGCTCGCTCTGAGGGTCAGAGTCGGGCTGAGTGGGCTCTGCCCTACCTTCCTGTGTGCTTGAAGCAGGCAGGCGTGACTGGGCTAATGGGATGACTCCTCCTGAGAGATGTGTGCAGCTGAGCCTTTGGAAAAGCCAGCTGGACAGCTGGCTGTTACCTCTGGATCAAAACCAATGTATTGCCAGACAAGCTCTCTCATCAGGTCTTTTGCTTTCCCTAATAGGGAGCTGGCCTCAGAGGCTTGGCCCCATCTAGAGGAAACCTTAGAAACTAGGCTGATTCGAGTATGATGTTAGCATTTTCAGAGAAAACATATTTTTAAAGAGCTGCCTTGAGAGCAGCTTTCCACAAAACCAAGGAGGAACTCAGCAGTAGCTTGCAGGCACCTCTTTAAAGGAGTGGTATCAAGAGCTGCGTTGCGTGGATTGTGTTTGCTTTCCAATCTGTCATTGCCTCTGACTGCTCCACACTGGCTCCAAAAGGAAATGAAGATGCTTGCCGGGAGGAGAGAGGAAAAAAAAAAAAAAAAAAAAAAAGAGGTGACTGATTTTAAAGTAGCATTGCAGATACCTGAGCCTAAAACTTGGACAGTGTTGTAACCACCTGGAATAGTGGGTGACGTGGCACTTGTGTGGTTTGCTTAGGTTTCATGTGGGAAATATAAATTAACAGACTACGGTTCCCGTGTCAGTCTCTCGAGCACTGGTTTTCGAAGAGTGCATCTCAGCTCATCAGCACCCTAAGCCCTTTTCCTGTGCTTTGAAAGACAGGCTGCGCGGGGTTGTCTGGACACCCAGGCCAAGATGGTGAGTAAGGCACAAAACTCAATCACCCATGCAGTGAGTTTATGAAACTCTTTGGATGGGAGGAGGCAGCCTTTTTAGAGCTACGGTCAACCAAAAGTTCTCCTTGAAGCACCTCTATTAAGTGGGGTAAACAACCCCTTGCCATGCTTGGCATGAAAAGACCGAACGTCAGTTGCTTGTCTGTATTGTTGGCTATTACAATTGTCTCCAAGCCAATCTGTATGCTATTAGGGCGGTAAGGCTCCATCATGTTTAGGTAAGTTGGGCTTTTTTACACGTGTGGAGGATCAAGCTCTTCTCGCTGTCTTGCCCCTGTAATGGTTATTTGCTGCATGCCTTTACCTACTGGTCATCCTTATGGTTTCTCTTCATACAACTTGCTGGGAGAGTTGTGAAGTTGTGGCTCAAGGCAGGAAAGACTGCACTGAATTAATCCAGGATAGAGGGATTTATTGAAATGACTTTGTGAAAAAGGAAGACATTCCAAGCATGTTTCCCTTTGCAAGGTCCTTGTAAGCTCATGTGTGGCTGTTTTGGTTTTTCCTCAGAGGCCATGCTTTGAACCCAGCCTTAAAGTCTCTCCTGGAGAAAGAGCAGCCCCTCTGGCTGGGGAGGAGAGGGGCAGGGGTGGGATACTGTGGCATACCGCTGTCTTCTCCCGTCTTTTATTTATGGCCATTAGAAATAAAGCTTCATAATTCCTCTGTTCCACAGCAGCTCAGCGTGTAGCTATGCAGCATGTCCTGCCAACTCCTCTAACTCCCTTTAGCCTTGGGATTAAATGAGGCATCTAAATGCCATAGGGTAAAAAGGGGGGAAGGGAAGCCTGTGGTAGCATCTCGCTTGGCTGCAGAATGTGGGGAGCTGATCTGGATAACTGGCTTCTCAGAGACTCAAAACCTTGGAGGAAAGGAAGGAGGCGTGCAGGGGCAGCTGCTGCATTGAGGAGGACAGGAGTCCCATGGCTTTGGATGCAGCCATGGTTTGCAGTGGGTGGAGAGCTCCATACACTCAGTTTCCCCTATTTTGAACAAATGGACTAATCAGACAGCTGTAATTAGTCTCCCCACTGTGAAAACAAGCAGCCCTGGGCTTATGCCATGCTGTCCCATTAATGTTTTCCTATGAATTTGTCTCTCAGTAGGGGAATTTGCCTCTGTTCCCCTTGGGGTTGGAGAGGTCTTTGGGCCAGGCGACATCTGAGCGTACCAGGTGCTTTTTTGTGTACAACAGAGAAGTACTGGCAACCTCCCTGCTCCCAGCAGAGCCCCGGATGATGGTTTTCCAGACTTGTCTCCTCCCTGGAGATTCTTTGGGCAGAATGGGTGATATCTCATGTGAAGGAGGGAGTCTGCTTACTTCCCCTGCTTGACTACCTTTGGTGTCAGCATCCCTCGTGGGGTGGGTCTGAGCAGGGCCAGCTGGGTGCGCTGACCCTGGAGCCTAGCTGGCCTCCAAGCCCTTTCCTAACAGGGCTCCTTTGCAGAGATCTGGCCCTGCTCCCCATCTGCTGCTGCATCCTGTTTGCTCAAACCTGCAGTATGGCCTAACCCTGCTGCCCTGGTAATTCTCGTGGAAGCCGTTTACATCGAGGGTTGCTTCCCTCTCACTTCCTCGACAGCAGCGCTATGTTGGCTGTGGAGGGAGTGAACGCAGCAAAGAAATCTTGGAGCATCTCTGCTTACTGTTGTCCTGAAAGCCTGCAGTCTGACTCATGGGCTGAGGAAGCACCATCCTGGTGAATTTGCTTGGATCTGTGGACAAGGATTTTGCTAGGCTTGTTTTGGCCCTTACTCGCTTCTTTACCACGGAGTGCAGGGCCTTAAACTCTTTTGTCAAAGCCACTTGTTCTTTGACTCTTTGCGGTGAGATTGCTTTCAGAGTGTTTGGAGGAGAGATATGCAGTATGCAAACTATCCACACCAAGGCAGTAAATAGCTCTAACCTGCCGCCTCCTCAGTGTTTTCTTTCCCTCTGTTGAGCTATCATGAATCACCATGCTGCTATAATCTGAGTGAAACCATACTGCCACTTATGTTCTTGAGCTTTAACCCCCATGTGTAACAACCAAAAATGAGAGAGGCCGAGAAGCAGCTGTTGTCCTGGAAATACCTAGATGTCTGCAGGTGCAAAGCTTCTGAAACATAGCGAGCCTGGAAGAAACAGCAAAACACCACGTGGGTTTCGGTGCTACTTCCAGAGCCTCTGGCAAGCCGAGGTCCAGTCTCACCTCCCAGTGCTGCGTGGGAGAGACTATGAGGTCTGTGATGGGCTCTGGTACCGGGGGAGACCTGTATTCAGAGGGACCACAGCTTAGTAGAGGGTCACCCTGGAAAAAGTTAGACCTAGATCACTTATTTTATCTCTGTTCCCCCTCCCCAGAGGCCAGGGAGGAGGTGCTGGAGACCAAAAGCCTCCCCCTGTAATTCTCTTCCATGGAACTGCTGAAAACCAGCTGGGGGCCCCCTCACTCCCCAGGGCAGGGTGTTCCCCTTGGGGTGGAAGGGACTGGACGGTACTAGAGGATCTTGTTTACTGTGTGATCCTCCCTACTCGACGCTGAAAATGGCTTCATGCTTCTTGGAGGGACTGTTACAAGGGGGAAGGGGATTTGAACAGCTCAAAGTCCTGAACCTACGTTCACAATGGTTCCCCTTCCCTTTTTTGTCTTCCCCAAACACTCTGGCTCTGGTTTTCCCCTTGGAGCCACATCAGTGGGCACACGTCTCTGCGGGGAGCTTTGTTCTCTGCAGGAACCGGGGCGGGGGGGGCCTCCAAGACGAACTAAATGCCTGTAGACCAGTGTTGTATAACGTCTTATATTAAGAAAGTTGGCAGGAGCCCATAGGTCCTGCTCTTTGCAGTGAGCAAGCTGCTGAAGTCTGCAGAAATCTTCTTGTTTTTCCCTTCCCGAAGATGGCTTTTTTTCCTTCTCTAGGAACACCACTGTCTCTTTCGGGGAGCTGCTGCAGCAGGCTCCAGTTACAGCAACTTCTGGCACCAGCTCGCAGTGCAGTGCAGACTCCTTTAAAGGTTAATGTACAAAGCCAAGGTTAGGACAAAGCAGGGTTAGGACTGCAGTTTTTTATTAGCTCTTGCCTGATTGTTCCTCTATTATATCTCTTGAAGCAGAAAGAGCCAGAAAGCTCGCCAAGTGCTTCCAGCCTGTGGTCGGACTAACGACAACGTTCCTTTCATGAAGTGATTCTGGTGGCACCCATCTCGTTTTGCTGGGGAGTGGGAACGTGTCACTTGCTGAACAAATTCTAGATACTGCTAAGGGAAGTCCTAGGATTCACCGGTACAGCAAGCAGCGAAATAATCATAATGCCTGCTAGGCCTACCTAAAAATAGAGACGGAGGAGAGCAGAGCTCGCTTCTTCGTAGATGTGACCTTAAAGGAAGCACAGCCTGATGTGCCGCTGCGTCAAATGAAATACTTCAGAGGGCAGGACTGATTCTCTCTCTCACCTCCTACTTCCCTCTCCTACTCCCCGCAGCAGCAGGCACTGAAATCAGACGTCCGTCTGTGCTGCTTGTTCAGAGGCTTATGTAGAGCCATACCCTTTCAGAGTGCCTCTGGCAGTCACAAAAAGGTCTCCTGAGTCAGGAGCTCGGGCTAGCTGTGTGTTGGGAGGTCTGAGCAGGCTGGCTGCCAGGGCTAAAGCTATTTTCTTAGATGCTGCCCATCACAGCAGCTGGGAGAGGATTTGGGTGGTGAAGAGAGATGAGAGTCTGGAGACTGGGTGTCCTCAGCAGCCTTGTCCTTGGGCAGTGAGAGGGTTGTGGGTGTGCCTGAAATAGCTGAACAGCTTTCATCCGTGCACCTGAGGGGTGGAGAGCGCTGCTAGCTTATGTTACCAAGCTGGCGGAAATGCTAAGGGACTGTCATGAAGCAACTGGATTGTTTTGAAGCACTTCCAGTTCATCCGTCTTAAGCACTTACCTGTCTCCTGCGAACACAGTTTTTCCTCAGACAGCTCTTCCAGTGAGTGCAGTTGAACGCCATGTTGCAAAGGAGCTGGCAGGAAACTGGAATTTGCTGGCTCTTGCTGTCCCAGTGTTGAAGGCAAACAGAACAAGGAGTGGAAAAATAAACAAAAATAACTGAAGTCCTTCCCCACAGGAAGGTATTAGTCAGACGCAGGTAGAAAGAGCTTTGTTTGCTGTAACATGTTGGCTGATAGAGTTCCTTGTCCTAGAAAGAAATACGCATCCTGTTGGCTAGTTAGCCTCTGGCAGTCCAGCGCTGTGCCAAGGAGAGTGCTGCAAAAGATAGCCTGTTGCAAGTAATGCTGTTAGCGTGAAGAAAGCAGCAAGAGCCATGACTGCTAAAGCCTTTGGTGAAGGAGCCAACTTCTGAGTGTGTGATTCCAGCAGTGCTTGGTTTCCTTTAAAGAGTGTGGTAGTTAGGGCAATGTGGGAAGCAGAGGAGTTATTTTGGATACAGCGCCTTCTTGCAAAACATCCTTGAAAATAAGGAATCAGGCAAGGAGGTTCATGCGGCCTGCAGTTTTTCAAGTCTGGTTGTGAGTTTTTTTGGGATTGTTCTGTGTTTTCCCAGAAGCTAGCAGCTTTGTTGTGAGACTGCTTACCCTACAATTACTCTTGATTTCTTTCCTAAATAACCATGACTGTCTATTCTGCCTCATGCCCAAGGGAACTGGCTTGGTTCTGGAGCCAGAACAGGCGGTACAGACCTGAGCAATGGAGGTGCCAGGGGGAAGGAGGGCAAGCATCCCTCCTCCATGAGGTAAGGGGGAGCAGAGACCAAGGTGGGCTGCCTTTTGGAGCTGGCAGCATCAGGAAACAGAAAGGCCTTGCTCAGGAAGGTGTTTGTAAAACACACGCGTAGGGGGATGGCTGTGGGCTGAGGCTGACTAAGCTTCAATGCTTGAGTCTACCGATAATTGCAAATAGTGAGCAAAGTTTCTTCATTACTCCCTGTTTTGACCTCCAGATGTCAAAAATGGTAAAAATACAGGAAAGCTCCAAGTGTGGCACTCAAACTGGAAGTGGAATTGGGTAATCTGTTCAGGGCCACACAGGCAGTGCCAGATTGCAAAAGCAGTGAAGTAAGTGACGCTCAGTTCCAAGCAAAGGTGTCCAACGGCCACGTCTGGGTGTTCTTATTTTTTTTGTCTTTCACCTTGCAGCATTGGGATGTCTTCAAATATGTGACTGAGGTATTTATCCTGGTACCTGCGCTACTGGGCCTGAAGGGGAACCTAGAGATGACTCTGGCATCTCGCCTGTCTACAGCTGTGAGTATCCAAGGCATGCTAGGGGAGAGAACAAGGTACCTGATCTCTGGTTTTGGGTGTTGCAGGGGAGGAAAGCATATGTATGTGTAGTGGCTGGGGGGATGAACAAAGCCTTTTTTTTTTTTTTTTTTTGTGTGTGAGCCTGTGAAGTCAGTGACCATGAAAAAGAGCC